CTGATTTCAGTAAGGGACTCTGTTTCCAAAAATAAGATGGAGAGCTATTGAAGAAGACACTTAACAAAGATCTCTGGCCTCCACACACATACATGTGGTCCTGTATACCCATACATTCATGCACAAACACAAAGAAGACTTTAATTGCAATTTTCCTTCTTTAATTTATGATGTTAATACAGTGGTAGCCTGAACTTAGTGCTGAATTCCAGTTTCTAGGATGTTAAACATCCTAAGGAATAGATATTCTGATATCAAGTACTACAGAGGAAATGTTTCTGTAGCACCATCCACTTAACTTCTTTGTTAACTATAACTTGTGTCCAATTTGACATTCAAAAATAAATATGTTCACTGTTTGATGCTTTCTTTGATTACTTTAGGACCCCCAAAGAAGCCATTTTGTCTTAATTGCTGGGGAACCATTAAGAGAACCAGTTGTCCAACATGGTAAGTCCAAAATGATGATGGTTTTCTTGTATGACATTCTTTTCCTTTGACTCGAGAGCACGTGTGTGTTTGTGTGTGTGTGTGTGTGTGTGTGTGTGTGTGTGTGTGTGTGTGTTGTGTGTAGTATTACAAGGAAGTCAGAGTGAGTTTCATTTCTCCATTGTCAGAAGAAAATATGTACATGGTATTTATGTCTACATTCCATTCATCTCTTTTTGAAAGGAGACATTTTCTAAATACCTATGATATGTAATACATTGATCTTAGATCTGTGGGAAGAATGAAAACTGTTTTTGATTTTGTCATAAGGGATTTCATCTTGAAGGGAAAAAAGACTTCATTGTCCACTAGCGACTTGAATATTAGTTAGCCAACATTACAGTGGTTTAATTACTGTTTTATGTTGCTATAGCAGAATGCATGAGACTTATAACAAAAGAGAATTTATTTTGGCAGACATTAATGGAGGGTTGGAAGTCCAGCAACATAACGTGTGTGTGTGTGTGTGTGTGTGTGTGTGTGTGTGTGTGTGGCTGTGCGAAGGGTCTCATGTTTCAACTCTTGACAAAAAGTATAAAGGCAAATGGGTACCTGAAGGAGAGACAAAACTTGCGGGGTGAATATACTTCATAACAATCTGCTGCTATGGTAATCAAGCCAGTCTCTCCCGGCACCAAGAAATTACAAGAGTGAGAACTCATCCACTAGAAAAGCGATTGCCTCATCTTCATGACCTAATTGCCTTTTAATGGTCCCTCCTCCCAATACTGCTCCAAGACAATCAGATTTCAATATGAGTTGTGGAGGGGGAAATCAACATTCAAATCGTAGCCAACACCGTCCTTGTAATCAATTATATTTTTAGTGAAAAATATGAGCCTCTTTAGAATAGTACTTCTTTGAAAGTGTCTTTAATAGTTTAAGTCTTTCTTCATTTAGTTAAAAAATGAATAAAGAGGGACTGGAAAGATGGCTCAGTAGAACATGCTGCACTTGCAGAGGCCTCAAACTTAGCTTCCAGCTCCAGAAAACCTAGCGTCTTCTTCTGGCCTTCTTGGGCATCTGCACAGGCATGTACACACACACACACACACACACACACACACACACACACACACACACACACACACACACACACACACTTAAAAATAAAATAACCATTTTTAAAGAAAAAGAATTAGAGTTAATTATTGTATGTTAGAGGTACTACTGTAGTTGAAGGCAGAAAATGCTGGCATAGGTAGACAATCACTTTGGATCTTGATGTCCTTGTATTACTGGCATTTGATTAAATGAGAAACACCTAAAAGCACCTAGAACCCAACCAACTTGTTATTTATACCTTTGTCTGAAAAACATACTATGCAATTCACTAATTATCAAATTAGACATGATTTAAAACCTCATTGTATTCCATTACTTAGCATGAATTCCAAGGCATACACAATGATCTCATATAACCCCTAGGTAGTCATAAATTTAAATAACACCGAATATTTGGAAAATATTAATTTTTGTTCTAGCAGTAATTTAGGGGGAATATTAAATCATATGCCCCAGCTTATGACATCTCACGTTAATTTTGCACACTTCAAAATTTCACTCCCAAGGTTCCTAGATACTTCTTCCTTTGGTCATGACTCAATAAAATTGTTCTTTGGCAAAGAAAGCTACAAACAAATGGAGTAGGGTCATCATCTAGTCATAGACTGGAATTTGTGTAGGAAAGGAGTGTTTGGGATGAAAACCCTTTATGTTAGGCTCTTTCCTCCATAGCAGGAATGAGAAACAAAAGTCCATTTGAATGAAGATGACAAAGCAAAATGGTAGGCACAGTGTACATAAATCCTCTTCCAGTGCCTCGTATGCTTATAAACACAAGCCCACATTAATCAGACAAAATGAATATATGTCTCTTGAACTGTCAATTACTGAGCGACAAAGCATTTTGTTTGGTTTGCTTAATTTGCTTTTGTTTTTAAGTTTTTTACCTTTTCATGTCCAAAGGCAGTTAGAGTATTTGGGGACTTTTTGTGTTTTTGTGAATTATTAACGCCCTGCTCCTCTTGTCTTTGAGTGTTCTTCATGATGACATTAGGCAAAGATGTCACAGCATGTTGGATTAGAAAACAACCTTAACTCTAGTGGAGTTTTGTCCTTCCTACAAATGAGAAAAATTCAGATATTTCATTTCTTAACATATATGTTCATATCATTTACTATTTACTAAGTATTGGTCAGAGTGTTTTTCAAGTTGTTAATTTATTTAGTATTCAAAACGACCCTGAAAACCTGACTGGGGTGACAAGGGAATGACGAAAAGGCAGGCACACACACAGAATGAGGGAACTGGATGACCTGTGCTGATCTGATGGAGATCTACCTACTAAGCACCAACCCAGAACATGAGCAAGTTAATTATGCACAGCACAAAGGAGGTGTTAGCTCATCTCTGTGGGAGGCCTCTGTAGGGGAGCAGTCTCAGGTTGCAGTCAACCAGGATGAGGAAGCTGTGGTTGTCAGTTTTTGCATACACTGCTGGGTCCTCACCCAAACCAGAGGAAGACTTGCCAATTTCCTGAGCCTGACTTAAGGAAGGTTCTGCCAGTTTCCATGAGTTGGAGACATTGGTCCTTGTCAATGATACACATTCACTCAAGACATCCCCCTTTGCCCAAGGACAGCTTAAAAAACTGATAGACATGAGATGGTGTTGAAAATAGAGTATAGAAATGTACCACAGAAAAAGAGTTGAGGTGTTTGAGTGGTGGGGCTCTGCCTGGGGAAACCATAGGAAAATCATTGTGTATCAAGTCTGTCCTTGACCCAGTATTTGATCTCTTTGAGCCATAAAATCTATAATGTACATTCCCTGGCTCTTTGCTGAATACAAAATCAGTTGACCCTAACAATTTTTTAAAAGTGCTTCTTGACGTGAAATTTATTAGTAAAATTTATTAAAGCTATGGTGCTGGCAGTCCTTGGCAAAAGGATGGTCACACTAGCATGATGTATCTTTCAGGGTGGTGGGTGAATAAGAAATTGTGATCAAAATGAAAGGTAAATCAATGGAAGCATCAAAGAAAAGTTTACAGGAAGATAAAAAAATACCTTTCGTTGCAAGCACATGATAGCAAATCGTGACAGGAAGGAGAAACTAGTTAAACTTCAAAACTTGACCTTATCTGTGGTTGCTGTAGGGTACATGGAGGTATCTTCTGGGGAACTGCAAAACAACTATTAATGTACAAGCTGTTCAAAAGCAATTAAACCCCCTGTTTGTTGTCAGGGAAAGGCTGCTGGTTTTCGAAACAGACTTAGAACCATCCCAGAAGTGCATAGCCCCACTCACTGCTTTGACAACAAAACTTTGCTAGGATCTAGCTGATTCATAATACCGGGTTGGTTCAGTTCCTGTAGTACAAATAACAACTGCAAGGAATGTTGTGAATAAAGGGATTGTCATTACTAGTGAGGAACCTGCAATGAACAGTGAGACCTAATTGTGTTTGTCTAAGTTTGTTGTGTATGATAACTTATAATCATATACAGTCCTAGCCAGAAAACTCAAATTATATTTCTGTAGGTTTGAATGCTGTGAAAAGAGACTATTGCTGCCCAGATAGGCCTAGAGTTTGTTTCAAATGAGGAGCTATAGTAATGCATACCACTTCCTGTGGTAGAATGTTATCACCCAGAACTTTGTAAATGTCTCTTTCTGCCCTAGGTCCCTTTGTGATGAATACCAATGAAGAAATTTCTGAGGCCATTCTTGATTTCAGGAATGCAAAAAATGGTTTTGAGGGCGCCAAAACCTGGAAGTCAAAGATTGGAAACTAATGAAGAGCTGAAATTCTGCCATTTGGATGGACTGACCATTCAGTATATTCAATTTCCAAAGCTGGCTTAGCTGGTGCTTCTAAAAAATTTTGCATTAAGAAGGGTGGTGGTGGCACATGCTTTAATTCCAGCTCATAGGAGGCAGAGACAAGCAGATCTCTGAGTTCAAGGTCAGCCTGGTCTACTGTTGAGTTCCAGTATAGCCAGGACTACACAGCAAAACCCTATCTTGAAAACCCAAAAATAAAAAATAAAAAAGAATTCCACATTAACATGAAAAGATGAATTTGTAGTGAGTCATCAGAAGGCATTATATACGTATGTGAAATTGTCAAAGAACAAATTTCACTATTTTAAAAAGGAAAAGCACAAACAATAAAATGTGGTAGAAATACATGTAAATAATTCTAATTGTTGCTTCTTTGAAAAATCAATGTTCTTCATTTCCATGGAAATTATTAAACTCCTATTAAAACAATTGCTTATGTGTATGTGCTTTTTATATATGAGAAAATGCCCTTTTATTGTCTGCCCTTTGGGGTTTTCTTAGAGCATTTTTGATTGCTTTCTGTGCCACTGGCAGCAGCTTTCTGAGCATCTTAAATTGCCCTACTGCAATTCAGCTGCCGTCCCAGCAATCAGAACAGTGTTCTGGGTTTCATGTTACAGGTTATCTGCTTTTAAAAACCCAGCAGCCCTGACCATGTGAGTCAGCTTTTAAAACTGCCTTGCTATTGCTAGGGACTCAGCAGGATTCCAGCCAAGACTTCCCCACAATTTTCTGCCAAAGTCTGTGTCAGATTTAAGACACACGCTCCTGCATGCTTCCTTCAAGATTGTGAAAAAAGTTTTAATCCATAGTTAGGTTCCAGCCTGCTGTAGCTGCAAGTGTCGGTGGTCACACCACCTCCTTACAAAGCAGCTAGAACCTAGGGCACAGGGTGGGGATTGTTTTCTTTCAACTTTCTGGCCATGAAATGACTGTAGAGTGATTTCTAGCTTAAAGTGGAAGGCATGGCCACATCCTGATTAGTTTTTGCAGCAGGAAACTTTAAATTTTTTCATCTTTCTCCCATACTAAGATTGTGTGTGGCAGGGGGTGTCCCCTGACTAACTCAAGTCATTTCATTGGATTTTGATTACAAGTGATCATGTGATTTTCCAGTAAAGTTTTGGGGTTTTGAACTTTGCTTCCGGAGAATGCCTTTTGCAACACTTTTCAGTAACTTCTTGGTGTGAACTGCTTAGTCATCAGTGGACATTTAAAATATTCAAAATGTATAGAGAGTGGGCAGTGGTGAATATTCTTATGATGTCCTACTTGTACCTGGTGCAGGGCTTCAATAGTGAACATGGACCAGTGAAGGTAGGTGAGCTTGATTTCTCATAATGTTCCTTTTTATTGGTTTTCGAAGAAAAAAAATGTCCTTTGCCCTCAACTGTTGTTGAAGCAATATAAAAGCCCAGCCTACTATTAGCCTGTGTGTATTAGTGACTGTTTTATTTCTTGAGCTTAATTATTTTCTTGCCATGAGTGTATGAAAATTTGTATGGTTGTTTTTTATGTGTTGTGTGTATTTGGAATAGGAATAGAACACAAGCATTCTGGAAACCTTTGGCACGGGAACGTTTGCTCCCAGTTGTGCCTGCTGATGGCACAGTGATTTACTGATGAAGCTCTGATTTGTCTTTAGGACACACACAATTTTGTGGGCCAATGGTGTTTAGGTTGGTTGTGGGTGGCAAGGTTGAGTAATTTCTTCTGTAAATGGAAAATCACAGTGCTTTTCATGGATGTTTTCTGTCTCGTTCTGCAAATTACGAATCGCTACTGTCCAGGAAAAGAAGTCTTCTTAGAGTCTGTTTTGGTTTTGTGCCTCTCCTTTTGAAAATGTGTATAAAATTAAGCAGCTGACAAATCTTTGGTTCTATGAGCAAGCATCAGGGCAGCCCAAGAAATTGAGAGCAGTGCAAAAAGGATGAACTAGGGTGCTCCTGACGGCCAGAAGAACATTGTACTGTGGAGGACCATGACAATTTTGTATTGCAAAGAAATACAATACAATCTCAATTTTTGGTATTTTTTAAAGCCGTTTTAGTTTTGAAAATGACTTGGATGTAATTGTTTTCACTGGAGTGCTACCAAATCATGACTGATTTAGAAAGTTCTGGCTGTGATCAGACAGAAATCAGATGTGGGCTTGAGTTTTATAGAACAAATTTTCAATTAGGGGCATATCGCCCCCCGGAGGGGAAAATTAGTTTATAAGGATGTGAACAGGGGAAGCACCATAGGCATGTAGTCCATAAACAGGTTGTAAACTTGCATCCAAGTTTCACAGGACAAGACTAAAGGGCTGCTGGCACTGGGAATCTGTTCATAGTTTCCACCCTGCCAAAGTGAATTTCCTTTCACCTACAGCCTGAGATGGAGAGCCAACATCAAGGCTGGTAGCAGTCAGGTACAGCTGAGAACTGTCCTCTCGGCCACGTACATTTGGGACTTGCAAAGCTCGAAAGGTACAAGCTGCTAGGCAAGAAACCTTCCTACCCCAGCACAACGCTGTTCGACATTCTACTTAACACTAGTCTTCAGCCCTTTTCCCCAGTGAAATTTTCAATGTTTGGAATTGACTGTTTGATAGACACAGCTACCAGAATCCTCTCAGTGTCCCCGGCACAGGGAAGTTTTACCCGTTTTGAATTTACTTCTCCCATGTAAATTTCTTGAATGGGCAATGGGAGAAAGTGACTGAATTTTTATGTGACAGAAAACATGCTCTAACAGATGGCAGATGTGCAGCCCGTGTTTACTAACATTCCTCTCAATGTTTCTGTTACATGCCCTACTTTCCTTTTGAACAGGGAAGCTACGGGCAGTGAGTTTACAGCCACCCAGCCCCCACCTAAATTAGATTGTTTCTTATATGAAGGAAAGTGTTGGCTGTAGTTAAATAGAAGTTTGGAGATACACATGACTGGATGGTGAAACATAAAGACATATATCATTTTGGTTTATGTATTCTCTTCCCTCTTCCCATCTCTTTAAAAGAAAACAAAATCAAAGAAATCTTTTGTTATTGTTTTTCGAGACAGGGATTCTCTATGTAGCTGTTATGGCTGTCCTGGAACTCACTCTGTAGCCCAGGGTGACCGTGAACTCACAGAGATCCACATTGCTTGGCCTCCCCAGTGCTGGGATTAACGGTGTGCACCACCACTGCCTGGCCAGAAATCTACTCCTTAACATTCGTGTTTTCTTGTTTAAATTAAAACTTAGCATAAAATCATATTCAGGGTAGTGATGGTTTGGGACACTGGTACTTAATTAGTTTTTGCTTTAGATATAAGAATATGTCATTTGCAATACAAAATTGTCATGGTCCTCCACAGTACTTTGTCTTTGAGAACATGCTTTTCTCCACTTTCCCTTTTCTGACCACATCTCTTCCAGAATGGCTGTGATGCCAAATCTATTTCCAGGGTGCTCCTCCCCTGCCCCCGATCTGAACTTTACTTCTTAGCTTAGAAAATTGTCCTGTTTCTTTTTTCCATTTTTTTTCAGTTTAGGCAGTGACTATGGTACACATCTATGAATCTGTGAAAATTTTTTCTACCATAAGCATTCAAATGGCTACTACCTACTAGGACAATTGTGTTTAAAGCCATTTGAGTGAAAGACATCCTAATTTTACTAGTCTTGCAGCTTATGCTTGGAAAACTCTTTGGTACCAATCATACTTGGGACATTTGAGCTGAGGAAAACCTTTTCAGAAATCTTAACATTTTCTTTGCAAACAAAGATATGGGGAGATGGCTCACTTCTTGCTCTTACAAAAGTCCCAGGAGCAGTTCCCAGTGGCTCACAACATCCATAACACCAGTTCCAGGGAATCCGATGTCTTCTGACATCATAGACACCAGGCACACATATGATGAACATACATGCATTCAGAAAAAAATACCCAGACACATAAATAAATCTTTAAAAATAATTTAAAAACTAGGTGTGGGATTTATTTTCAGGTTTCTCAAGCTTTTTATATACTTGAGATGAGCAGAGATATTTTGCCAAGGCATGCACTTCACAATAGTCTATGTTAGATCTAATCACAATATTTTATCCATTAGACACTTAGTAATAATTACCAACAGCCTTATGCTCTTCCCATTCACCATGGCCTTTTAGCCTTCATGATTTCTGGCTGATCTAACAAATAATTGTTGTCACCAGATAATGTTGGGAGTCATTATAAGATACTAGATGAAGTTAGTGTCTATATACATCTCTTCCTGGTGCTATGAAGACCTGTCAGTATAGTAATAGAGTAACAATTCTAGGTCGTGGTAGCTTTCCAGTCTCTTTTAAAAGAGTCTCTTCTTCAGCTTTAATCTATACTATCGTTTTAGGCACTGTGCTTTTAATATCTATAGATGAAGGGTGTCACCAGCTGATGGAGTCATTCAGTGCTACATAGGATTGGAATACGTCTCAAATACACACGGCTCACAAGACTTCAATTACCTTCATGCCATTTGTCTTCTCTTGAAATTGTCTAGGAAGTAACTCGCATGGAAAAGGCTGATGCGCATCTTCCATCTTTAATTGCAGAAGGCAAACCCATCCCTCCTACCTGCCCCATTCTCATGCACAAGGTCATACCCAGGAGAGTTTCCTGGCTTTGATGTTAGTCAGATGAGCCAGTGAACTCTTGTCTGATTTTTCTGTCTCATCATGAATTCAGTTGTGGCTTTTATATCACTATCGTATTTTGTGCCCCAGATACAATAGAACCCTCTCTTCGTACACCTGTGTATAATACTTCCTTGTATGACTCACTTTTAATTGAAAAATCTTGACTTAACACCTGTGAATAAGATGTTGCTACAAACATGTCACAAAGATAACTTGTGAAATGAAAACAAGGTATTTGTACATACAAAATGTCCCATAAAGAACTCTTTGTAAAAAGATCCAGAGCTCTCAGACGCAAGTATTCCCACAGTTGGACAAAGGCAGTAGAGAAATGGGTTATAAAGGACGATAAAATTTTTTTCTGAGCAATATCTAGGCACAACTCTTTTTTTCTTAGAGATTTATTTTATTTTAAGGTTATTTGTGTGTGGGTATATACATATGAGTGTGAGTACCTGCAGAGGCCAGAGGAGGGCGCTATATCCCCTAGATCTAGAGTCACCAGCAGTTGTTAACCACCTAACTTGGGTAATGGGAACCAAACTGTTCTTTGCAACATCAACAAATACTATTAACCACTGAACAATCACTCCAGCCAAGAGAACACATTTTATCATGTGAGATGAGCAGAGGGTGGGAGTTTAGCATATTTGGGAATGAATTGGGATGAAAGGAGACTGGTAAAATGAGCATTTCTACTCAGCTTGTTTTTATGGTGGCAAAGCCACTTTTCTCTTTCTTGCTTCTTGTTCTTATAGTCTTACTAAGATACTAGAACATTGTAGATCAAAGGCATTCTGAGACATCTTCAGCATCCTGAAAGCCTTGACTGGTTGAGATGTCCTAACCCATAAAGACTCTCCTGCACCTCTCATTACAACTTTCCAATATTTGATATTTCATTAATTTTAGCAGGTATGTATTGAGTTTCTACTGTGTCTAGGATCTATTAATGCAGCAAGAAATAAAATAATATTTCAGCTCTCTTGGAATGCATATTTTGATTGTGCATGGTGGAATTGAACAATATGCAAATCTGTAACATGTCAAGGACAATAATAATGAAAAGCACTCAAATGAAGGAGGAGACACAGAATGATTGAGATAAAGGGGCAGATCCTTCCAATTCCATTTTATCTGTGCATAGTACTGAAAGAAGTGAAGGAGGCAGAGGCCATCCTCAGGGTAGTGACTGAATCAGGAGTAGCTTGGATATGCCGAGGACGATCCAGGGAACTAGAGTGGCTACTGGAAGGTGAGCAGAGATCAGAAGTGCAGCTGTCACAGTTGGAAATGTAGCCAGGCAGATCATGCAGGTGAGGGTGAACTCCAATAAAACTTCAGAGGCACTACAATTTCAATTTTATGTAAATTTTATGCAGCAAGAAACCTTGATTTCATTCATTGCAACCACTCAGAATGCAAAAGCTCATGCTTAACTCACAGACTGTTCAAAAACAGGCTGCACACTGGATGTATCTCCTGGGGCACAGTTTACATATCATGTTCTGTGTTACACTATTTTATTTATTTTATTGATGACATCCACCTATACTTGACATTTGTGGTCTGTTTGTCCCAGTTTATTACACCCTCACCATTAGAATGAGAGCTCTTAAACAGAGGAGTGTTCCATCGTTTTGTTTATGGCAGTGTCCCAACCACCACTTTGCAAAGCCTGTCATACAGTAGATGCTGAAAGCAGTGTTCGTTGGCTGGTTGATGGACTAGCCTTGGAGGATCCTGAGACAGCCAGGTGAAAGACAACACTAAACAGTCTCTGACATCTATCATCACCCTGGCTTGCCTGATTTCATGAATTGTATAAAATCCGAAAGCATACCTTAAGGCAGTATATTTACCCTGTGGTATTTTACTGTGGATATTGGGTAAGATTTAGGTGAATGTGTCAAAGAATTTCAAAGTGTCCTTCTAGCCTGAGGCCATCCAATAGGGTGTTCACTTCTAGAACCCACAGGAGAGAATGAAGTCACTTTAGCCCATTATTTCAGCCTGACAGTCACAGAAAGTTGCACAGCGCAACACACAGTGTCTTGGTGCACAATGTAGACATCTCCTTGTCTTTATCTCTGAAAGCCTTAGGAGGCCTACCTATGTTTTCCTCTTGGGTGATTTGTAAAGGTGGGGCAAATTATGACAAAAATACTCTGGTCAGGTACTTTCTTAGTGAGACAAGGTGAGGGTATTCTGTAATTACAACCACCCTCAAAATCTTGATGGTTTGTTATAAGTACAAATTTATTTGCTGCTAGTACTACGCAACCATCTTCATTCACCCACAGTCAACTCATTATCAGTATGCAGTTAGCTGAGCACCCACATCTAGAATGTTCTAGATCACTGTGACCATTGTATGCTCTGACCTAGAAGTAGCACACATCATGGACCACTGTCTCAGTTAGGTGCAAAGGGCAAAGAACCTGGAGGTGCACTCTTACCTTGGCCTCAGAAGGTGGGATTCTGGAAATATTTCATGAACACTATTAATAACTATCACATACAACTTTTGCTATGCATTAATATTTCCCTGTCTGAGAGCAGTGCTGGAGAATACATTGTATTGAAACAGCAGGAAGAGATAGGGAAAGAATACGAAAGTCTCTGGTTTCCATTATTCCTCTTTTAATTCATGAAATAATGTATACTTTACATAGAAACTCTCTATTAGAGATTGGGAAACTCCATGGTCGGTCTTGAGAGGAAGGCATGTGGAAGAGAGATGGCTTATTTCAGTTGTTCAGGAACCCTTTTCTCCCTGGGAGAAAGAAAGCTGTACATTCAGTTCAGTAAACATTTGTGCAATGTCTTCCATGTGCCAAGCACATGAGTGAGAATGATGCTTTTTATAAAATAAAGATGTCTTAGTCATTTGCGTGTTTTACTAACCACCAGGGAGTTCACTTTGGCTTGTGGGAAGGATAATTTTAATGCCTGAAACTGTAAGTAATACTATAATTTCAACAAGGTTTATTTCACCACTGACTGGATCTTATTAAATAACCATAACATTGGCATGGTAGAGATGAGTATTGCTTTTTGAAAAATCACCATTTAAATAAAAATTATTACAGGAAAGAGAAAATAGCATGACATATATTGTTGCTGGTCTGCTGTGAGTGGAACTCTAGGAAGAGTATAGTGTCGATTGAATGAATAATCTTTTATTTTATTTTTATTAGTTCTTTGAGAACTCCATGCACTGAGTTTTAACCATATTCAACCTTCCCTGAGTCCCTCCCAGATCCATCTCACTTTTATTACCCACCGATTTTGTGTATTTTTTAACTCATAAGAGTCCAATTTGTATTGACTGTATATTTATAAACATGTGGAACATATATACTGCACCCCTTCCTCCCAAGCAAGGCTCTGTGACAATTTTAGAGGATGGGTGGAGAGACTTAAGAGTCAGAGAGAGAGATAAAAACATGAAAGCAGTCTTTGCAATCATGTGCTTAATTCGTCACTACATTGCTATAGGAAGGCTAGGGATCATGGGGCACAGTGTTGTGGATGTTGGTGAGAAAGAGAAGGTGATGGGTAACGTTGATGTAGGACCACTAGATGTTTCAAAATAAATAGTTTTAAAGGGTATGTTAGGCTGGCTGCCAGCAGAAAGCAGGACTACCTTATAGGAGACCATAATGGTTTGCACAGATGTCTTCCCATGAAGTTAATTATGAGGCATTTCGGCTGAAATAGAGTCATAGCAGCTAATTATTACCACAATCATGCTGATACAAACCCATAAAAATTAGTGGCTTCACACATCACTAGTTTATTCTCAGGTATATCTCTGTGGGTCACTGAGACTGGGGATCAAGGCCCAAACCTCAGGCTGAACACATGCCTGCTCCACGTGTCTACCCTCCCACTTATGAGTGGGCTGGCAGGAGCATGTAACTGCAGAGGTGGAAGTAGTTTGGAAGCTCAGTGCAGTCAATCAGAAGTCAGTGTCAAGCTTTTGCTTGCAACATGTCAAAGTAGGTCACATGATCCAACACCAAAACAGCTGTGGAAAGGCAGAGGTTATTTGCAGTTCTACTTAACCACAATAAAGGTTTTGAGTTGTTTCTTGGGCATTGGGTCCTTGATCCTTGAGATCAATGGTACAGAGAATATTAGACAACTCAGGACTCGCCACTATAAGGCTTTCTCGGAGCACAGTTTTAGAAGGTCTGGGGCTATCTTGCCATTCAAGACCACCCCATATCTATCTTTTCTTCTCATTTCTGTAGCTGCATCAAGTAGGAGAAAAGGCATTTGAGTAGAACAGAGATTTGACACATGTAAAGGGAGATACATCTCCCCAAATGCTAGATGTCTTGGTTAGTGAGAAGAATCACGAACAACTCTCATCAAATTGGAAGATGTGGCAGTTCTGAGCAACAGAACTAACCCCTTTTCACTGCCTTAAAATATCCAGACAAACCTGCACACTCATTCCTGCCTGCATTCACACACATACCGTTTTCTTACATCTGTAGTTCCTTCAGTATAAGTTTTCGGGATTCTGATTTATGCATTTAAACAAAGAAGCAAAAGATCTGCCAGTAACATTAGGCATCCAAAATTTAAGAGCAACCTAATTCTATTTCCAGATGGCCATGTTTCTGGATTTCAAAGATGTAGTACCAGAGTCATGGTAGTTTCCACCTGAATAGCCACAGCCTCAGCAGTCATTATTAGCAAGTGGGGGTTTTTCTCTTCCTTCAGTTGGTATATCTCAAACCATTAGGTGCCAGCTATTCTGACTAAAGCTAAACCCCCAAAACACAAAAGTTTAAGAAGTAGACTGATATACATGAATCTACAAAGACAGACATAAGACCTGAGAAGATATTTGGAAGTTTGCTTTCATCTGCAGATAGCCTCATGAATGCTTTTTCTTATTAGAAAAAGATAACTCACAGTTTACCCTGGGAAAGTTGTTTGGGCTTTATGTGTTTAATTGCATTTGCCATGATTAGAGTTGCCAAGACTCACTATTTTCAATCCTATCTCTCTGATGACTAACTACTATCAATGGCCATAAAACATAAAACTCCACCCCAACGTGTAGGTCCAGATGACACACCCCTGAGAAAGAAAAATCATTAATTGTATTCCTGCTTTATACTCTGACCTTTTCTCATTTATGAACCCCTAGGTTCTCCACTGAGCTCTGTGAGCATAGTATTTCCAACATAATATTTTTATTGACAATTTTGAAATTTACCCTGATCACACTCACTACCCAGTCCTCCCAGGCCCTCCCTCTCACCTTGTGGCTCCCCCCCCCAAAAAAAAAAATAGAAAAAAGGAACAAGTCCAATTTGTGTTGCCCATGTCACTGGACCATTGTCAAACTCCCAGTGGCCAGCCCCTTAGATGAAACTAAGTCCCCCCCCCCCACTCTCGAGCACCCCTGCTAGAAGCCATCAATTGTGGAGAGCTACACGCCAGCATCCTTATTGAAATTTGTAAGAGTTCTCTTTGATGGCTTTCTGTCTAGGCTGTTTCTTTAGTGGGGGGAAGCAGGACTGGAGATTGTGTGTGTGTGTGTGTGTGTGTGTGTGTGTGTGTGTGTTTGATTTTTGCTTTTTTGGTTTTTTGTTTTGTTTTCTTTGTTTTTTGAGACACACTTTCTCTGGGTAGCCCTAGCTGTCATAAAACTTTATCTTTGGACAGATCTGCCTGCCTCTGTCTCCCTAGTGCTGGGATCAAAGGCGTGAGCCACCACCACCCAGTCTGTGAAGTAACTATTAGTAACTTCAATGGGGAAACCAAATCTGAAGGAAGTTAACCACCCTCAGTCAAAAAGGAGTCATGCTTTGGTTAAAAGGCAGCTCATTTTATGTCCTAATTGTACTGTGATTGTACTTTCCTTTTATGTAGGTACAGTTCTGTGAATT